CTATAGAAAATTGGCATGGGTTTGTTTGCGGTTGCTTTCACCACAGGTCTTTCCTGGATGGAAGGGCTGACTTCAAGTCCTCTATTCTCTGAGCAGGGCCAGTTGGTAGACCTCACTTTAGGTTATATGGTCAAGGGGCAAGGGTACAGATTCCCCCCCTCCCTTCTTCAAATAAAAGGACTGTGTTCCTCAGAGGCCAACTTCTCGTATTTGAATTCAGCCCTGCCCAGGTAGCTCTTTCCATTTCTTTCCTAACAGATCAAATGGTTTTATATTGTTAAGATGGGCGTCAGCAGCATTGGGCAGCTGGCCTATTCTTTAAAAATTCCTGTAATTACCCTGAATGTGGCTTCCCTTACCTGGCAGTCCTGAGTGTGGTGCCTTGCTGAGATTCTGCAGGGCAGAATGGCTCTCAGCTGTGTTGCAGCCTTTTCATGGGCCCTCCTCTGACTACTTGTCACTACATTTGCACTTATTTTCTACTTCCAGAATTTGTCACAGTCGCTTGGTTACTAGCACACGCCTCCCACCCTGATTGTTTATGTCACGGATATATTCTGATAACGTGTGTGTTTCTGCTGACATTTCAGGGGGTTTTAGAGAGTGAGAGAAGGTAAATGTGTGTGTGCCCAACATATTCAACCAGAGGTCACACGTAGCCTTGCAGATTAGCCAATCTGGCCCTGGAATGCTGCAACAACTAACAAAGTTTAGATTTGGCACTTATTGACACTTTACATGAAAATAATTCTATTGTGGAGAGCCTGGGTGGCACAGTTCTTTGAGTGTCCAGCTCTTGGGCTTGGCTCAGGTCATGATATCACACTTTGTGAGTTTGAGACCGACACTGGGCTGTGCACTGATGGTGCAGAGCCTGCTTGGGATTCTGTCTCTCCCTCTCTCTACCCTTCCCCAGTTTTGCACAGACACTCTCTCTCAAAATGAGTAAATAAACTTAAAAAATAAAGTAAAACATTAAAAAAAGAAAATCACTCTATTATCAAGACAACAACAACAATATTATATTATCAGTTTAATTTAAAATATTAATTAAATGGGGGTGCCTGGCTGGCTCAATTGGAAGAGCATGCGACTCTTGATCTTGGGGTTTTAAGTATAGAGATTACTAAAAAAATAAACTAAAATATTAATTACGTGCTTTAAATAATGGAAATTATTTCTGTGTTAAATATAAATAATAACATTTCTATTATATCACTTGAATATGGAATGCTTTTAAATTTCTTAATATGTTCCCACAAGTGTGTCCTATTAACAGATTTTAATGTCCTCATTATGTATAAGTCATCTAAGCATCGACCCAGAATACTGAAATACAAACAGTTTACTGTAAGGCTAATTCTCCAAGTAAGAGAAGGAACCTGCACAGTGAAGATCATTGTAGAGGGCTGGCACTTCTGGTTACTAAAAGTCTCTCAAACATCACTGTGCCGGTGAAGGTCTGGAAAACCACTCTTCACTGGGAATTTCTTGGCCACAAAGAATGCTGTTATATGGTTCTGTTCTCAGACTTGCCTGCTTCTAATAATAATATCTTTTCTTGAGGTACCTGGGTGGCTCAGTCGGTTGAGAGTCTGACTTCAGCTCAGGTCATGATTTTATGGTTCATGAGTTCAAGGCTCACATCAGGCTCATTGCTGTCAACACAGAGCCCACTCTACATCCTCTGTGCCCCCTTCTCTCTCTGTCCCTCTCCTGCTCAATCTCTTTCAAAAATAAATAAACATTAAAAAAATATCATATCTGGGGCACCTGGGTGGCTTAGTTGGTTAAGTGTCCAACTTGGATTCAGGTCATGATTTCGTGGTTCTCTGGGTTCAAGCCCTGTGTCAGGATCTGTGCTCAGGATCCAGCTCAGAGCCCGATGCGGGGCTTGAACTCACGGACTGCGAGATTGTGACCTGAGCTGAAGTCGGACACCCAACCGACTGAGCCACCCAGGCGCCCCAAAAATAAATAAACATTAAAAAAAATTTAAATATATATATATGTATCTTCTTAAAATATCTTTGAGGAATATTTTCCTAGGTATGAGATAGACTATAATATTGGCGTGCTTTTTTAACGTACACACAAATTTTGAACAAAATCTTACACGTAGGATATGTACTGCTTAGAGGATATATTTTTCTCTATTAAGTTTGTGTTAGTGGACAGATTTAAGAAGTTGTTTTAGAGAAATTGCCTTGATCTCCATTCTACTATAAAACAACTAATAAAAATAAACTGTATATTTATTTAACAGTTTACAAACGATTATTTTCTATTCTTTCATTTTCATTTTGATACTATCAATAGTATTCCTCTTGGTCTTATGGAACTGCATTGTATATACAATCTAAATTCCAGGAGTAGAATTTTTTTAAAAAGTGTCAAAGGACAGGGTTAGGTCTTACATTGGAAGTCCAAGTCTAGATCCCCTTTGAGACTGAAGTTCAGGCTTGGTTGTGTACTCTCCACCTGATACTAGACCTGGTATTTAAACTGTGCCTTTTTTCAGCTAAAATTACTTCAGCTTGTTAGACATTAAACTGAGGTATGTGGCTATGAAATTCAAATGAGCCTTAATCTTCATTTAGAAGGAAGTAGTTATTGTTTCTTAACCTGTGTCAAAGAAGAAGAACCACTTTGGTGATAATGTGGACTTTGTATTACAGAATAAATTATGTAATAAGAGCTTAGTACATTTGTTGAATTAAATAATCAAGACCTCCGTAGTTTCCTTTATCTTTTATCGTCTTAAGCAACCCAGTTATCTTAAGAATCGCTTCTTCTGGTTCATTCATTGATATAAAAATTATTACCCTAAGGAATCAAGGAAAATTAGAATCCAGGGGTGCGTAGGTGACCTAGTTGGTTAACCGTCCCACCCTTGATCTTGACTCAAGTCATGATCTCATGCTTCGTAGGATCGAGGCCCACTTTCAGGCTCTGTGCTGACAGCATGGAGCCTGCTTCAGATTCTCTCTCTCCTTCTCTATCTGTCCTCCACTGGGGCCTGTGCTTACTCTCTGTCTCTGTCTCTCTCAAAATAAATAAACTTTAAAAAAAAGGGGGAGGGGGAGATTACAATCCAGAGTTATTGTTCCAGAGCTTTGTGCTCAGTTCCCAGGTCGGTTTCTACCTGTGTCACCACCAGTTGTGCTGGAGATGAGCTTCTTGAATTAATTCAGCACCATCTAAATGTTAAACCATTCTAAGAGGAACAAGAGCATTGAGGGCTCCTGGATAAAATAGGGACATTTCATTAGCACTTAGTACAAAGCAGGTAGAGGAATAAGGTCTCTCTCTTCTGTTAGTAAACATCTTGAAGGCAAGAATCAGGTTTATTCAAGTTTATATTATTCTTTTTCTTTACTTTTTATCTGGAAATTGTTTTCTTTCTTTTCTTTCTTTCTTTCTTTCTTTCTTTCTTTCTTTCTTTCTTTCTTTCTTTTTAATGTTTATTTTTGAGAGAGACAGAAACAGAATGCGAGTGGGTTAGGGGCAGAGAGAGAGGGAGACACAGAATCTGAACCCGGCTCCAAGCTCTGAGCTGTCAGCACAGAGCCTGACACGGGGCTCCAACTCACGAACTGCAAGATCATCACCTGAGGTAAAGTCAGACGCTTAACTGGCTGAGCCACCCAGCACCCCATTATCTGGAAATAATTTTAAACTTACAGGAAAGTTCCAAGAATAATGCAAAGAACTTTCACATACCTGATACTCAGATTTAGCAGTTAACATTTTGCCACATACTTCAGTGTGTATTTCCTATTGCAAGGACATTCTCATGTCAAAGTCAAGAAATTTAGCATTTTGATATAGTACTATTATGTAATTCCATGTTCTGTATGGCCTGTATTCCATTTTTACCTATTGGTTTAGTAATATCCTTCATAGTAATGTTTTTCCTAGTTAAGGATCATGCATTGAGTTCAGTTATACATTTCTTTAGTCCCCTATAATCTGGAACAATCCTCTGCCTTTCCCTGTCCTTCATGACATTCTTATTTTTGAGGAATACAGCACAGATATGTTCTAGACAGCTTTATGTTCTTGGCACAGGATATCAGCTAAGAAGGTTTTAGAAAATACTTATTGAACATTTTGGGGGAGAGCACCTTTCTTTCAGAAAGTTTAATATGGGAAAGAAGTGTGTTTTTTAAGAAAAAGAGCATGTGCTTTGACATAGGGACTTAGATTTAAATCCTGGTTCTGCCACTTATACTTCAGTAGCACAGGGCAAGTTACTTTATCTCACTGACTCTCAATTTCCTCCACTCTAAAAGGGTACAGGTAAAACGCCTTGAAGAAATGAGATAATGTGTATAAACAGAGTGACACATGATGTGTATATAGTGAATGGCAGCTAATAATACTCGCTTAAGTGTAACTGCCAAGCTGTGAGAAGATGATTGCCCTTGCCAGGTTCAAAACTTAAATACTTCTCTAGCTCTGAGTCGGTAGGAGAAATGGAAGAAGAGCCAGAATCGGAGCAAGGAAGTATGAAAATCATTTAGTTGTCACATTTTATTCTTTCCTTGGACACTGCCTAAGAATTCCTTGCCTTTCACAGGTGCTGTAGATCTCACCGAGAGTACAGAATTTTTGCTACCTCCCACAGACTCTGTGTTGTTTAATACTTTGCGTTGCTGTTCACTCTCCATACCTAATAACCAAGTACAAAATGGTAATGTTCAAAGAATGATTTACAGGGACAGCTCAGTATTTGTTCGTCAATTGGTTTATTGACGTAACTTGTGTGCTGAATTCACTGGAATGTGGCATAGTCAAATCTGGCCTCTTCCACTCCTGAGTTGGTGTGAGAAACACTTGGCAGCTACTAAAATGCAATTCTTTGCAGTTATTTGGTATAATTTGCCACAGAAGTAAATTCCATGAGGTAATGATCTTGCTAGGTTGTACTCTGGCATGACTAAAGGAGTTCCTGCTAAGGGCCAATAATCTCTAACTCAAGGTGATTCTCTTGGCAGCCGGGAAGATTTCCAACGGATTCCAGAACTTGCCATCAACCCACTGGGGGACCGGATCATCAATGCCTTCTTTCCGGAGGGGTGAGTCCCTGCAGTTGTTGGGCTTCCTTTCTGAGGCTAATCTGAAATAATGATATTGGTTGGGTCATCTCAGATCCGTGATCCTCTTGATTTTACTGGGTATCCTTAACTTAGTCATATCTAGAAGATCTCTTCTCTTCTACCCTCCTTCCCATTTTTAAATTTCAAATAGGTATATAAGCCTGTTTTCAAACTTCTGTCTTTAATCTATGTTTATCTTTAATGTAAAACTAAAATTTTTTAAACTCGTATTTGGAAATAATTTCAAATTTATAGAAATTTGTAAAAATTGAAAATAATACAAAGAACTCCCAGACTTATCTGTTGTTAAATTGTTAACATTTTGCCTCATTTGCATGTGTTCTCTCAGTTCAAGCCAATGAAAATATAATCAAATCGCATATGTAATTAGAAATTTTCTAGTACCCACATAAAAAAAGTAAAAAATAAACAAGTTAAATTAACTTCATTAATATATACTTTATTTAACCAATATATTTAAAATATTATCATATGATATATAATCAATATTTTTAAATTAATACATTATATTTTTTTAATATTAAGTCTTTGAAATCTTATGTATAATTTATACCTACAGCACCTATCAGCTGCTGGAATACTAGTATAAAATATTATGTATTTTATTCTTTTTTCCAGCTTTTTTGAAATATAATTGTCATATAAACATTGAATAAGTTTAAGATATATAGCACAGTGATTTTATATATGTATATATTGAAAAATGATTATCACAATAAGGTTAGTTCATCTATTTATCACCTCACATAGGGACTGTTTTTGTGTAATGAGAACTTTTATAATCTATTCTCTTAGCAACTTTGAAGTATACAATATAATACTGTTACCTATTCTCACCATGCTATGCGTTACATCCCCAGAACTTATTCATCTTATAACTGGAAGTTTGTACCCTTTGACCATCTTCACCTGTTTCTCCCATTGCCTATTTTATCTTAATAGATCAATCATATGCCAATTTTTATATCCTTTATAGCACTCCCCCCCCCCCCCCCCCCCCACCCCCACTCCAATACACGATCCAGTCTGGGTCTGTTGTCATGTCTCTTTGGCCTCCTTTAACGTGGAACATTTTCACAGCCTTTATTTTTCTTTTACAACATTGGCTAAGGATGCAGTCCTCTCCACCACACACAGTTTGTCAAATAGATTTAGGTTGGTCTAACGGCTTTTGATATGCTTCACTACCTAATACACTGCCATCAAAGTACTGGGTAAATATTTATCCATCTGATTAGGTACTTTTTTCTGAATAAAGCTTATTATGTATTGTTTTAAGTAATCTCTTTAACAATTTCTTCCTGGTTCCTTGTAACTTTATCTGTATGACCCAAAAGGACTTTAACAAGTTCAGCGGTTGCCAGTTTCTTAATAATGAGACTAAGTGTCAGTGAGGATACTATCAGATAAAATACCTGGAGAGGAAATTTTAGAACTCTGAATTGGGAGCAAAGGAATTTGCAAGTTGTGAAGTTGGGCATTTAGTACATTTGAGTGACAGAGGGGAAAGACTAGCAGCTAGTTTATTTGAAGACACGAATCTAATCAAACTGAGACCTGCACTCTTCAGATTCATGTTGACCATGAAGAATCTCTTGCCTGTCTTCATTTTCTCCTTTTTCTCTCCCTGAGAAACTACCCTGTTTGTTTCAGGTGTGGTTTTTGTGCTGAATTCTTGCATTTTTTCCCACTTCCTCTTCAGTCCATACCGAACATTGACCCTATCCAGAGATAACTTTCACAACTGTGCTTTGTATCCAAATATTTTGGAATGAAAAGTAAGCCTAGTAGAATCATTTTGCCCACAATTTTTCAGAGTTCCATGGTGACCATTGATTATTTGAAGAAGCGGTTCTTGGGAAGCTGTTTTATAAGGCCCAACCACCTTTGTTGTGACTACAGTATTGGCCGCCATCCTATGCAACATTCTGCTAGAGACAGTAGGCAGGTGCACATGAGGAAGTTGAGGCCCACACTGGGCTACACCACTAAGCTCTTAACAAGCTGCTCTTCTGCTTCTTGCTCTTAATAAGATACAGAGATTTGGTTTCTGGGTTTTCTGTTTCTTCTCTATTCTTATGCAAGTGGAATTTTTTTTTAATGAGATTTGAAAATGGAGCATTAGTATTTAGTTTCCTTTAACCTTTGAGTCATGTGTCAATAATATATGTACTCATTAACCTGTTTGTTCTGGCATATAACTCAAATCTTATTCCATATTACTTGATTCCTCAGATCTTATGTTTTTTTATGAGATACTGCTCCATTAGCAATATATAGCTAACTTGAAAAACTAATGGTCATTCTTTTGAGTACATTGAGCTCATGAGCTAGCTTTTGAACTCCATCCTTTGAAAGTCTGATCAGCGTGTTTCTGCCTGGCACTTGAGAGACTTGACGTATGACAACTATTCAATGGGGCAAGAAAAGAGTGGGATTTACTTTTAGGTAGCCACAGGAACCAGACAACCTATTCTTTCCATGACTACCTTAGATAAATAACCATATCACATTGGATATTCTCCTTTAATTAAAGAATATTGGGGGCAATGGGATGCCTCAGTTGGTTAGGTGTCCCACTCTTGATTTCAGCTCAGGTCATGATCCCAGGGTCATGGGATCCAGCCCTGCATCAGGCTCCCTGCTGAGCATGGAGCCTGGTTAAGATTCTCTCTCCCTTTCCTTCTGCCCCTCCCTTGCTTGTGTGTGCACACTCTCTCTTTCTCTCTAAAATATAAATAAATAACATTGTTCATTCAAGTTTTAGAATTCTTTCTTCTTTTTATAAGTTTATTTTAAATGTTCATTCTTTTTTTTTTTTAATTTTTTAACGTTTATTTATTTTTGAGACAGAGAGAGCATGAACGGGGGAGGGTCAGAGAGAGAGGGAAACACAGAATCTGAAACAGGCTCCAGGCTCGGAGTAGTCAGCACAGAGCACGACGCGGGGCTCCAACTCACAGACCGCGAGATCGTGACCTGAGCCGAAGTCGGACGCTTAACCGACTGAGCCACCCAGGCGCCCCAATGTTCATTCATTTTTGAGAGAGAGCACGCATGCTGGAGGGGCATGGGGGGGACAGGGGATCTGAAGCCGGCTCCACGCTGACAGCAGACAGCCCAGTGCAGGACTTTAACTCAAGAACTGTGATATTATGACCTGAGCCAAAGTCGGACGCTCAACCATAATTTAGACTCAGGCACCCCTACAATTATTTCTCATAGGGTTACTGATTTGCCTGTGGCATGATTAATTTTCTCTAATTGTAAGTACCAGAAAAGCTTTATATATGAGTATTCCAAACATAATCATGAGAAATGGGGGGGAAAAATCTATCCAGTTATGAGGGAATAATAAAATCATGACAAGTAACACAATTATTTTGCAGACATTTAAAATGTTTCAAAGTGTTTATGTTGATTGGAGACATGCTTAAAAGTTTAAAACAGGATAGAAAATTATGTATGCATACAGTATGTACACAGTTATCCAGAATGCATAGAAAAATAAATGGAAGGGGCACCTGGGTGGCACAGTCGGTTAAGCGTCCGACTTCAGCCAGGTCATGATCTCGCGGTCCGGGAGTTCGAGCCCCGCATCAGGCTCTGGGCTGATGGCTCAGAGCCTGGAGCCTGTTTCTGATTCTGTGTCTCCCTCTCTCTCTGCCCCTCCCCCGTTCATGCTCTGTCTCTCTCTGTCGCAAAAATAAATAAACGTTGAAAAAAAAATTTAAAAAAAGAAAAAAGAAAAAGAAATGGAAGAAAATATATTAATGATTATAATTGATTGATAGAGCTAGGAATGGTATTTTTCCTTCTATTTTCCCCCCAAATTTCCAAAAATGTATTTATTGCTTTTATAACAAAATATTTATTTTAGAAGTTGCTTTTCCATAATATGCCTTAACCTTAAAATATGTGGTATAGGTGTATGTGATTTCAGGGGAAACACGAGAGGTGGCTGGGGAGTCATTGGGTTGACATGGCTAATTTACTGCCCACTGTAAACCCACTACAGCAGTGAGTTCAAGTCCTGGCTTGCCTGATAGTGTAGCCTTGGTGCTACTCAAAATCCTCCTTGGGAAAAGAGATACAAGAAACATCAGTAGGTGACTCTGACCCTGCTAAATTCAGTTGCCTCTCAAAGTCTGGTTAATCATTTATAATGTGGGAAAAATAATACCTATCTCACAAGGTTGGGTTGATGCTTAATAAAGGTATTTTATGAATCCTAAAGAATCACGCATATGGGGAAAGACCTCGTTAAATGGACTTTAAGGCCACTCTAGCTAAAACTGTTGCCAGCATATTGAATTCCTAGGAAAGAATTACCCCGATTGACATGGTATTCTGTTTGTTCCATTTCCCAATCAGAGAGGACCAGGTAAACTTCCGTGGATTCATGAGAACTTTGGCTCATTTTCGACCCATTGAGGATAATGAAAAGAGCAAAGATGTGAATGGACCAGAACCACTCAATAGCCGAAGCAACAAACTGCACTGTAAGGAGATAAAGTTTTCTGCCTTAAAATATTTGCTTTCACTTCTTACAAATCATGTATTTACTCATTCATTCATTGAAGAAGCATTTACAAGAGTATAGTGATGAAGAGCTCAGACCCTGAAATTAAACTGACTGGGTTTGAATCTCCGCTCTACCCCTTTTTGGCCATGTGATTTTGGGCAAATGACTTAAAAACTTTGGGCTTTGGTTTCCTCTTCTGTAAAATGGGATGTTATGGGATTTCACATAGGGATGTTGTAATGATAAAATGAATTGTAATATGTCAGGTACTTCAAATAGTGCCCAGCAGTAAGAGTTAGCTGCTGATATTATCCTTAAAATTCATAGAATGCTTACCATGTGCCAGGCAGTGTGTCAGTGCTAGAACAACAACAGTGAATAAAACCCAGCCCCACCTGTAAGGAAGAATGGCAGTCCTCAGCCTATCTTAGAATTTGGTTGCTACTGGGGTAGGAGTAGGGGTAGACAGCTGTCTTAGTGCAAGATTTAACTTTTGTCCCCATGCCTCTTGCCTCCTTTCCTTGGACACTTGTTATATTTCCCTCTGCCCTTGTTGGCTCATGTATGGTATTGCCCAATCCCTTACAACACTTCTCCAGAAATTGAAATTGAATTTCTCTTTTCACTCAACGTAAGCTGAAATTGAAATTGTATTGCATTGATGAGCCCAAGCTTTTCTTGCAAAAGTGTACAGTGGTATACAGAGAGGTCTTTGAAGCCACAGAATAAATGGGGCCCATCAAGTTGATATTGGATTTTATTGATTTATAGTAAAATAAAAGGCTTTTTAATATGGAAATAACTACAGATAAATCATAGAATATAATGCCAAATTGACATACATTTGAAAGATGCAGAGCACCTGGCTGGTTCAGTCAGTAGATGTGTGACTCTTGATATTAGAGTCATGAGTTCCAGCCCCATGTTGGGCATAGAGATTACTTAAGAAGAAAAAAAAAGAAAAGAAAAATGAAACATGGGTAATTGAAACTGAAACTTTTAATTTATGGCCTTTGGGCTACATCCTCAGATCTCCCTGGCTATAGGACTATAACTTCACTCCTGTCTTGGTAAAGAGTTTCAGAAGCACTGAAATAAATTTTGTTATATAGGACAGGAAAGATTTTTGAACCAAAATAGCAAAATACTATTCTTCTTTACCACAATATCGGGTACCTTACTGAAGAGCAGAAAACTTAAGTACAAACAAAACAGTATAGAAGAAAATAGAACTCTAATGAGTTGTTCTCAAATTTATGGAATACTTTATGTTGTTAGTGAATTCCCATTTCTCCTTTCAAGACTAAATACTACTTGAGACAAAGCCTATGTCTTAACGTTTTAAGAATTTCAGCATAGGGGTGCTTGGGTGGCTCATTCGGTTAAGTGTCCAACTTCGGCTCAGGTCATGATCTCATGGCTCTGCTGACAGCTCAGAGCCTGGAGCCTGCTTCGGATTCTGTGTCTCCCTCTCTTTCTGCCTCTCCCCTGCTCACACTCTCTCTCTACTTCAAAAATAAACATCAAAAAACAATTTATTTTTAAGTTTCAGCATATATTTAGTACGTTTGCCTGATTCTGGCATTAGCATAATAGAAAATTTCTTATTCAATGTGGTCAGACCAGGACTTGATCAATAATTGAAAAAGCCAGCTATGGCATGGAATCATAGAAGAGTATACATGATTTAACACTTTATTTTACCTTAAAATATTTGAAAACACATTCACTGCCCAATCTTTTGATGAAGGACTAAGACTTTTTGTTTTGTTTTCATAAAAGTCTGCAGATGGGAGTCGTGTGATGTTTTTATATAAAGCACATCCATAATGTATAGTCTGGGGTTTCTGGTTGCAGTTTCTCTCAAGTGGAAAGAGAATTTAAAGATACTTGTAAAGCACTCCACAAATAGAATCTTTCTGGTGTTTACATTTTTTCCTTAATCTTTTACAGTTGTTCTGCCACACTTAGCTTAGCAGCAGTTGTTGTTGTTTTTTTTTTTCAGTAACTTAATTTTGAGCCTTTCAGAAGTAATCTAATTTTCGTAAAAACAATAACTTTGTTTCCACGTACATGTTTCACTTTGTATTTATTATATAGTTTTATTAAATTAAGTACACATAGCACAGTTTTAGGGCAGTGGATACATCTGACTCTTGGTGACCATCCAATTTCAGCTGGCGGAGTAGACACTCAGGTGTTGCCCATTAGCTACGAGTATGCAGTGAGCCACCCCATCTATTCGGACAGTTTGCAGAGGGAAGGGGAGCGTCCATGAATCAAGTGAGTTGGTTAAGGAGAAGACAGTTAAGAGACATTCTGTGCTCCACGAAACTATGCTTGCTTTTCTAATCCAGGATTAGAAGAGACTTTAAAGGTCATCGGACCTAACACAAACCTTTTACCTGAATTCCCTCTCTAGCATGGGCTATACTTTTTTCAAGTCATGAATTCCTTTGGCGGTCTGGTGAATCCTACTGACGCTATCTCAGAATAGTTTTGAATGCATAAAGTCAAATATGTAGGCTTATGTGCTTCTGTATTATATATTAAATAACAGGATGTAACATTAGAGGCTGTGTAACATTAGAGCTGTCTATCTTTTTTATTATTATTGAAGTATAGGTGACATACAATATATTAGTTTCAGGTGTACCACATAGTGATTTGACATTTATGTCAAATGCATAATGTCATATGTATGCATGGCATACTTTATGAAATGCTCACCACAATAAGTGTGGTTACCATCTGTCACCATACAAAGTTATTACAATTATTACTGATCATTTTCCCTGTGCTGTGCTTTACATCCCTGTGACTTATAACTACAAGTTTGTACTTTTTGATCCCCTTCACCTGTTGCTCATCTCCTCACCCACCTCCCTTCTGGCAGCTACTATTTTGTCTCTGTATTTGTGAATCTGTTTCAGACAGCTCTGTATCTTGACTGTGGTGATGGTTACACAAAACTACATAGGTGGATAAAATTGCACAGAACTACACACACACACACACACACACACACACACACAAACACACACACACAGTGAAATCTGAGTGAGCTCTGTGGATTGTACCACTGTCAATTTCTTGATTCTGATGGTATGTTATAGATAACGCAAGATATTAAACATCAGGGAACGCTGGTGAAAAGTATATGGGACCTTCCTATGTATTTTTTTTTTTGTAACTTCCTGTGAGTCTCCACTCTAAAATAAGTAAGAAAAAAAAGAAAAAACAGCCAACATTACATTGGTGAAAGCAATAGAGAAACACATTCCACATGTTTCTCTTTGTGTATTTCTTTCATGGCATTTGTTAATGTAAAATAGATTTTAGAAAAACATTTAATAAAGTCTTTGTCAGTATTTTGTTGTATACAATGGAGCAGTAGGTTAGAATACCCAAAAGGTATGAATATGTGTCAGACCAGAAAGAGGTTCCCAGTGGTCTGCTGCAGGGCTCTTTTCGCTTTTTGTTGTTCTTTTCCTCAGTGACTTTCATTGAATCTGAAATAAGCAAATATATCAAGTTTCTGGTTGACTGTAAACTTGTAGGCATAATGAATACAAGACACCACAGAATCAGAGCCAGAAGAGATACTGATAACCTGAAAAATGTTGGGCTAAATCTCATAAAATGAATGTTTTAAGGGCTATATCTGGGGCACCTGGGTGGCTCAGTCGGTTGGGTGTCAGATTTCGGCTCAGGCCATGATCTTGCAGTCCGTGGGTTCGAGCTCGTCACCAGGCTCTGTACTGACAGCTCAGAGCCTGGAGCCTGCTTTGGATTCTGTGTCTCCCTCTCTCTGTCTGCCCCTTCCTGCTTGACTCTCTCTCTCTCTCTCAAAACAAATAAATAAACATTTAAAAAATTAGAGAAATTGGGGGCACCTGGCTGGCTCAGCTTAAGTGTCTGACTCTTGGTTTTGGCTCAGGTCATGATCTCACGGTTCGTGACTTTGAGCTTCACATCAGGCTTTGTAGATGGCCCACGAACACATGATGTTGATGTTCAACATCACTAATTATTAGAGAAATGCAAACAAAAACTATAATGAGATACTATCTTATACCCGTTAGGATGGGTACTATCAAAAAACAAATAAAAACAGAACATAACAAGTGTTGACAAGGATACAGAGGAATTGGAACCCTTGTCCACTGTTGGCGGGAATGTAATATGGTATAGCCACTATGGAAAACAGTATGGTGGTTCCTCAAAAAATTAAAAATAGAATTACCATATGATTTAGCACTTTCACTTCCAGGTATATATCCAAAAGAATCGAAGGCAAGATCTTGGAGAGATAGTTGTACAGGCAGTCATGTTCTTAGCATTATTCACAATAACTAAAATGAGAAAACAACTCAAGTGTCCGTCCAAGATTGAATGGGTAGGCAAAAATGTGCTATATAAATACATGGGAATATTATTCAGCCTGGAAAAGGAAGAAAATTGAAATATTCTACAACATTATACCACTTGAGGCATAATGCCACTCATGAAAAGATGCTGTATGATTCTACTTCTATGAGGACTTAGAGGTAGTCAGAATCTTAAAGACAGAAAATATAATGGTGGTTGTAAGGGATAGGGGGAAGGGAGAATGGGGAGTTATTATTTAAAGGTATACGGGGGTGCCTGGGTGGCTCAGTTGGTTAAGCGTCCTACTTTGGTTCAGGTCATGATCTCATGGTTCATGAGTTTGAACCCTGCATCAGGCTCTCTGCTGTCAGTGTAGAGCCCAGTTCAGATCCTCTGTCTCCCTCTCTCTGCCCCTCCCCTGCATGTGCTCTTGCTCTCTCTCTCAAAAAGAAATAAACATTTTAAAAAAACAATAAAGGTGTAGGGTTTCAGTTTTACAAGATGAAGAGAGTTACAGGGATGGATGGTTGTGATGATTATACAATGTGAATGTATTTAATGCCACTGAACTGTACATTTAAAAATGGTTAAGATGGTAAATTCTAT